CTAATCATTTCTTGTTCATTTGTTTTGAGACAGGGTGTTACTATGTAGCTCTGGCTGTCCTGGAACTCACTCTGTAGATCAGTCTGGTCTCAAACTCAAAGAGCTCCATCTGCCTCACCTTCTGAGCGCAAGCGCTGGGACTAAAGGTGTGCACCACCATGCCTAGCCTTGGGATGATTAATCTTGGCAACCTACTTAACTGGATTGAGAACTGTCTAGAGAGGAGTAGAGCACACCTCTGGGTGTGTACGTGGTAGAGCATATAGGGGGATTAGATCCTAAGGGCTCTGTCCTGATCAGTGAATTAGCACCCTGCTGGATTCACGATATAACAGCATCCTTGGGAAACGGAGGAGGTGATCCTGCTTGGAGAACGTGTGTCACGGGGAGTACAGCCTGGTGGGCCAGAACTGGTCTTGGGCCCCCTCCTGTGCTCTGCTTTAGAGGGTGAGAACTTCTCCTACCACACAGCCTGCCCCATATGGTGATGTTCTGCCCAAGTACAAGGGGCTGGGCAACCACCGTCTCAACCTTCTGAAACTGTGAGCCCAAACCAACCCTCCTTTCTTGTATTAGTTACTTATCTCATTGCTGTGATAAAATACCCTGAGAAAAACGATTTAAGGAAGGAAGGGGATATTGAGGTTAAGAGTTCGAGACTACAGCCCACTATGGTGGGGAGGGCCTAGTGGCAGCTGGTCACACTGATTCTGCAGTCAGGAAGCAGAGAGAGACAATGCTGGTGCTCAACTCAATTCTCCCTTTTATGCAGCTCAAGACCCAAGCCCAGCGGATGGGTTTTAGGGTGAGTCTTCCCACTTCCCTTAACCTTGTCAAGACGGCTCCTCACAGGTGGCTGTGTCCTGGATGACTCCAGGGCTGACAAACTATCAGTATTAACCACCACACTCCATTCAGTTGGTCTTGAAGTTATTTGGTCACAGAAAGCCCAAAAGTAACAAATATACCTTTAAAATTAAAATTTAGCTGGGTGTGGTGTCCCAGCACTCTCAAAGCAGAGGAAAACAGATCTCTGTGAGTTCAGGACAACCAGGGCTGTCACACAAGAAACTGTCTCAAACAAACAAACAAACAAAAAACCCCAAATAATAAAAATTAAAAAATTTCTCACAGCTAGTCAGGTGATGGTGGCACACACCTTTAATCCCAGCACTAGGGAGGCAGAGGCAGGTGATCTCTCTGTGAGTTTGAGGCCAGCCTGGTCTACAGAGTGAGTTCTGGGACAGAAACCCTGTCTCCAAACAACAACAAACAAAAAACAAAACAAAAACATTTTCACAGCTAGTCTAAGAAGATTTTTTTTGACAAAAACCTTACTATATAACTCAGGCTGGCCTGGAATCACGATGTAATGGAAGCTGGTCGAGAACTCAGAGTGAGCCTCCTGCCTCAGCCTCCAGAATGCTGTAATTATAGCAGAGTCCCTCAAGATGCTTTGCGCTCCATGCAGGTGAAGAAACTAGAAGTCTACGTGTCCCTTCCACAGCACTCAGTTTGCAGATGACAGTGTGGGGACTAGACCTGTGCCCGCCTCATGGCCAAAGCTTCCTGTTTCCCACACCCACCACACCCACTAGCTTCTCTCGCTTCCCCCTGTGCCCCTGAAGGAAGATGTTGCTGTGGAGTGGTTGTCATGAAGGTGTGGATCTGTTTGTCTTCCAGGAGGAGTGGAGGGGAGAGGATAGGCAGGGTCCTTGGCTATCTCAAGATCAAAGTCCCCCAACAGCAGGTGGCCTGTGGGCATAAGATACCGGAAGCCAAAGGACCAAATGCTCTCTGGGCTCAGCAGTCGTGAACCAAAATGGTTCAAGTTCTTCAATTTAAAAAAATGTTTATTTTTATGTGTGGGGTTAGATCCAAGGCCAGGATCACACATGTGGCTTGAGTCTGGTTTCCTTTCCTTTTCTTCAAGACAGGGTTTCTCTGTGTAGTTTTGAAGGCTGCCCTGGAACTCACTCTATAGACCAGGCTGGCCTTGAACTCACAGAGATCCGCCTGCCTCTGCCTCCCGAGTGCTGGGACTAAAGGCGTGCGCCGCCACCACCTGGCTGAGGCCTTTTCATTAGGATCCTCACACCAGGGCTACACTGCTTGTACCAGAATTGGGGAGAGAGAACAGCCCTTTGGTAACACTCCTGTGTTAACCCATTTCCTGCTGCTATATTAGAATATCATAGGCTAAACAGAGCATTAACAAGAGAGGTTTAGTCTTTGTCCTGGAGGCTAGGAAGCCCATGAGCATGCCAGTGCACCGGTCTGGGGTCCTTATGCTGTCATAGCACGGCAGAGGACAAGAGGACATATGGCAGGCAGAGGGAGATTGGCCCAGCCCATCCTTTTATTGGGAGCCCATTCTGGCATCAATCTACCAGGTGATTAGGTGGCTTAGCCACCTCTTCAAGGTCCAGCTTGTAAATTGACCCAATGATGATTTTTTTGCTTTTGAGATTAAGTCTCCAGGTGCCCAGGCTGGCCTCCATCTACTTATATATCAAAGGATGACTGTGAACTCTTGATCCTCCTGCCTCTGTGTCCCAAGCCCTAGAATGACGGGTCTGCACCACTATGCCCAGCTGATGACAATAAATTCACCATAAGTTTGGGGGCGAACGTCAAACCCCAGCATGAGCCTTGGCGTTGTCACCTATTGCTGCTGTAGTCTGTTGTAACTGTCAGTCAGTGACAGTCAGCATCACCCCTCCCCCCCAGCCTGAGCTAACTAATTAGGCCTAGGCCAGCCTGGGTTATAGAGTGAGACCCTGTATTGAAAACAAACAGACAAACAATAAAATCTGCAGCCAGAAAGACACATAGCTGTAAGGATGGCCATGAACCTCTGACTTCAAAGATTCTCTTCAGGGCCTGGAGAGATGGCTCAGAGGTTAAGAGCACTGACTGCTCTCCCAGAGGTCCTGAGTTCAATTCCCAGAAACCACATGGCAGCTCGCAATTGTCTATGACTCCAGTTCCAGGGGACCTGACACCCTCACACAGACACGCATGCAGGCAAAACACCAATGCACATGAAATAAAATAAATAAATAAAAACAAAAGCAAAATCCGGGCGTTGGTGGCACATGCCTTTAATCCCAGCACTCGGGAGGCAGAGGCAGGCGGATCTCTGTGAGTTCGAGGCCAGCCTGGTCTACAGAGCGAGTTCCAGGACAGCCTCCAAAGCCACAGAGAAACCATGTCTCGAAAAACCAAAACCAACCAACCAAACAAACAAACAAAAAACAAAAGCAAAGATTCTCTTCAAAGACGTGAACTTTATGTCCTTTTTTTTTTAATGTGCACTTTCCACAGGTTGTGTGGCGAGGGAGAGCTAATGTTATCATTAGAAGATCACCAGGCCCACTTCCTTATCTCATTTGGCTCCCAAGAGAAAGACTGAGAAGAAATTCATTTCCTTGTGGGTAAAATAAGGAAATCAGCCACTCCCGTCTTGGCCTGGCACGGAAGGTGGTGTCCCATGGGAGCTGTCGGCTCCTGGCACCACAGGGGCCTCCTAGTGCCCTGTCGGGTGCAGTCACCGCCAACTCAAGCGGAAGCCACAGTGGGTTGCCGATCCAGAGCAGTGGCAAAGCTCTGTTTCTGGGGATGTGCACCGGGGAGGAGGCTGTTGGGTGCAGACAGACTTGGCGTGCCAAAGGGGAGCACGGAACTGCATTTTTAACGAAAGCAGGTGCTCAGAGGCAGGGGACTGGCTCCACAGACGAAGCCTTGCAGAGCGGGAGGCTGTCACAGCCAGTGACACAGTTCTGAAAAGCAGCTCTGTGGGCCTCAGTGTTCCCTAATGAAGCAGGATCAACAACTGTCAGGCATGCCTGTGGTGTAAATCCACAGAAACCACCGGAAGGACAGACAGAGGACAGGCTCCCGCCTGGCTGAGATGTTATGTCCGGCAGTCTTTTCTTCTGAGTGACGGTCACTAACTGAGTAGATCAAGCTCGGCCATCACAAAATTCACAGAAATAATGGACAAAGCATGCCAAACTCCCAGCACCCCCAGCCCTTGGGTGACTCTGCACATCCGGTCTGCGTCCTGGTAGAGTACACTGTTTGTGCATGGTGCCACAGGGTGTACGTCCTGAATACGCACGCACTCCACCACTGAGCCACCCAGCCCTTACAGATCGTCCACCTCTGGCTTCCTCGTCCTTCTGTTTCGTCTAGTGGCGGCTGAGGCTGAGGCTGGCGTCCAGGGAGAGTGTTCTAACACTCAGTCATGCCTTTCTCTTCTGCTCTTTGACAGTTATAGATACTCACAGGTGCTTTTAAACTTTCCAGTTACACTTGTGTGAGCACGTGTGCCGTGGGGCATGTGTGGAGGTCGAGGGACAGCTCGCAAGAACTGGTTCTTCCCTTCCATCATGTGAGCTCCGGAAACCAAACTTGGCTGGTCAGGCTTGGCAGCAGGCACCCTTATCCGCTGAGCCTCCCCACCGGCCCTGGGTATCACTTTTGAAATGTACATGTGTCTAGCTGGGTGTGGGGCTTTTGCCTGGAATCCCAGCACTTGGGGCAGAAGCAGGGGGATATTGGCGAGTTCAAGGCCAGCCTGGGCAAAATGGACAGACTGTTTCACAAGAATAAAAAGAAGAAGCAAGTTAAATGTGCAATCAGAAAAAGGATGGATGAGAGAAGGAAAAGCAATGTCTTCCAATGACTCATGGCATTGCTGGAAATTAGAAGCTTGGACATTTTTTTACGGAGCTAGCCTGTGTTTTTGTGGTTGTCGGAGCTGGGCCCGCAGGGAGGTTGGGTGGCCTGCCAAGCTCTGGGTGTTTGTGGTTTGGGGGTGGCACTAAGGCCTCCTCCCCTGGGCTCTGTGGAGATCGTGGGGCTGGTAGGAACTGCAGGGAGGCCAGGAAGACGCTCAGGATCGGGAGGGGGGGTGAGGAGCCATCTTCCTGTTTGTTGAGTCCCTGCAGATGCAGGCCAGGAGATATCAGGGAATAAGGGGCCAAAGTCCTTATTTATGGCCTTGGGGTAGTTAATGTGTAATATTCTGAAATATAAGCCTGACCAAGAGGTGATATCTTGAGCCCGAGCCTCTTGGAGCGACTGGGAGAGCTGTGGCCGGGAGCTGTCACCATGTCGGTGAGGGTGCTGGGGGATCCTTCACTCACTTGTCTTTGCTTGAGTGTGTGGTTGGGGTGTGCTGGGGGTCCTCTATTGCTGCACTTCTCTTGGTCTGTTTCTCCATGAGTATCAAAACAGAATGCTGGGTTGCCCGGCATGGTGGCCCACACCTTTAACCCCAGCACTCGGGAGGCAGAGCGTGTGTTTAGCATGTTTGAGTTTGATCTCTAGCACCAAAAAAAACCATGTTTTTAAAGGAATTCGGTGGGATCTGGCTCAGTGGGTAGAGCGCTTGCCCAGCGTGCGTGAAGTCCTAGGTTTGATCTCCAGCACTGCACGTGGTCATGCTACCTGCAAGCCTTGCACTCAAGGGCCAGAGGCAGATGGAACTCCAAGTTTGAGATCAGTCTGGTCTACACAGTAAAATTCCCGACCAGTCAGAGGAACATACTGAGACCTTGTCTCAAAAAAGAAAGAGGCTGGGCATGGTGGTACACACATTTAATCCCGGCACTGGGGAGGCAGAAGCAGGCCGATCTCTGTGAGTTCAACACCAGCCTGGTCCACAGAGTGAGTTCCAGGACAGCCAGGGCTGTTACACAGAGAAACCTGTCTCGGGGAAAAAAAACAGAGGAGAGGAAAGAGAGAGAGAGAGAGAGACAGAGAGACAGAGACAGAGACAGAGAGAGAGGAGAGAGAAAGACTTAAGCTCAAGATGATATTACAGGAGGCCGCCATCTACAAATCGCAAAGGTGTTATTCTCTCTCCAAGAGTGCAGAGCCTTGCTGGGTGTTGGTGGTGCACGCCTTTAATCCCAGCACTCGGGAGGCAGAGGCAGGAGGATCTCTGTGAGTTCGAGGCCAGCCTGGTCTACAGATCGAGTTCCAGGACAGCCTCCAAAACAATACAGAGAAACCCTGTCTCAAAAAACAAAAAACAAACAAACAGTGTGGAGCCTTTGTTCCAATCTGGCTCAGCTGTGGCTTGTGGTGTGATTTTGGACAAGTTGATGCCCCTCTCCTCAGGACTTGGTCTCCCCTGATGTGTATGGAATGGGACCACATGGCATTCTCTGGGGTTCAGATGGTAGGTTCATTTCCTAGACAAACCACTTCAAAATAGGGAGCTCACTACCACAGAGATTTCTCTCTTGGTTCTGGCCAAGTCTGGAATCCAAGGTGGGCAGGGCCTGGCATCCTGTGAAGACTCTGGGGAGGAACTTTACTTATCTGCTCTAGTTTCCTGTGGATGTGGGCGTCCGTAGGGCCCGTCTCCAGAAGCCTCGTAACTACAGGGTTTGCCCCTCTGCATATTGCCCTCCCTTTGGGGGTGTCCAGTTCCCTTTCAGTTAAAAATTTTATTTTGTGAGTATTTTGCCTGTGTGTGTGTGTGTGTGTGTGTGTGTGTGTGCACGCACATGTGCGTGGTACCACGTGCCCCACAGAGGGTACTTGAAGGCATTGGATCCCCTGGAACTAGAATTATGGGTTCTAGCTACAAGAGTAACTCTAACCACTGAGCCACTCTTTGGCCACATTTCCCTTCCTTCTACATCTAGAACATTAGCTACAGTGGATTTAGGACCTACCCCAGACCAATATGATCACATATTAGGTTGTACCAAGACCCTGTTTCCAAGGAGGCCAGAGGAGCAGATGCCAGGCGAGAGGACTAGGATGCAAAGAAGGGGTGCCTCCCCCGCCCTGATCCCATCACTCATTCCACCGTGTCAGGAAGCCAGGAGAGGGTGCATGGCATTGTTTCCCGGGAGCTGGCATGGGCACACACAGTGAGAATGTGAGAGACCGCCATGTCACCATGCTTGCGTTCTTTAGCTCATCTGAAAGGACATCGCAGGGACAGCCGGGCCACCAAGAGCCTGGAGAGAGTAGAATGTCAGTCCGGCTAAAACCCAGAGTAGCTGCTTCCCTTCCCCCTCCAGATCTCTCTGCCTCATGAACGCAGTGAGCTGGTCCCTTGAACACATTTGGTTGAGGCCGTCTAAGAAAGGCTGCTAGGCCCTGGCAAGGAGGGGCCAGCGAGCGTGTGAGCCACCACAAAGTACACAGGATGCCCCAATAGAGACCGGACCACCCCAGTCCCGGGACAGGCCCAGAACCTGCTCTAAGGTGACTGCTACTGAAGCTGACCTGTCCCTGCCATCAGAGCCCCGCCCCCGTGCTCCCTTTATTTCAAATGCACCTGCTCCGTAGCTCATGCCTATAACCCAAGCACCGAGGTCAATGTGGGAGGATCACTTGTTGGAAGCCAGCTTGGGCTATCTAGCAAGTGGGGGTATTTGGGTAGGGTGTCAAGTGGGGGTATTTGGGTAGGGTGCCAAGCCTCCCTTACGTTCGCATCAGCCATCCTCCATCCTTCTTTGTAGTGAGAAAGGACTGATAACCCTCTCACAGCCCTGTTCTTGACCCCACCCCCAAGGCCCTGCCCAGACAGGGGAGCTGATTCAGGAGTTCTTGGTGATGCTTGTCAACAAAATACAACAGCACAAGGAGCTGGAGAGGTGTCAGCAGTTGAGAGCACTGACTGCTCTTCCAGAGGATCTGGGTTCAATTCCCAGCCACCACATGGCAGCTCATAATAGTTGTAATTCCAGGGACATCCAATGTCTTCTTCTGGCCTTTGCAGGCACCAAGCATGCATATGGTATACAGGCATTTATAGGAAAAACTTTAATAACGATTAATAATAATAATAACAGGCTGGAGAGATGGCTCAGAGGTTAAGGGCACTGGCTGCTCTTCCAGAGGACCTGGGTTCAATTCCCAGCAACCACATGGTGACTCACAGCTGACTGTAACTCCAGTTCCAGGAGACCCAACACCCTCACTCAGACATACATGCAGGCAAGACACCAATGCACATAAAAATAAAAAATTATAAAAACAAATTCATTTTAAAAAACAGATAAAGGGCAGGGCAGTGGTGGCGCACGCCTTTAATCCCAGCACTCGGGAGGCAGAGGCAGGCAGATCTCTGTGAGTTCGAGGCTAGGCTGGACCGACAGCCTCCAAAACAATACAGAGAAACCCTGGCTCGTTGGCTCGTAAAAAAACAACAACAACAAAAAAACAAAAACAACAACAAAAAAACAGGTAAAGGAGCCAGCTGCCAAGAAACTTGGGTACTACTGATGGAAGCAAGGGCAGAGGAACAGCTACATAATGCAGGGTGGCCGCCCTCCTTTCTGCCATTTCTGGGTCAGGTGCTGTGCTTGGGCCTCACAAACTGGATACTAACCCTCCTGCAGCCTCCTTGAAAGTGGGTGCTGCTGGTCTTGGGGTCTCCCTCAGATCCATCACACAGTGGGTACTCAACAACTGCTTTTGACTTTTTTTTAAGGGGTGGGTTTGGAATTCTAGGACTTATGCATGCTAGGTAAGTGCTGTACCACTTAGCTACATTCCGGATTTATCAACTAATTTTGTTGTTTGACAATTTTATACTTGCACATAATGTATTCCGATCATTCTTCCATGACCCCTTCTTAGTGTTATGTGTATGGCTGTGCTCGTGCATATGTGTGTGTGTGTGTAAAACCTCAGCTGTCACCTCCAGGGACTGCTGTCCCCTTCCTTTGAGACAAGTTCTCTCAATAGACTGGAGTTTAACATTAATCAGTTATAGGTGGTGGTGGCACATGACTTTAATCCCAGCACTTGGGAGGCAGAGGCAGGCAGAGATCTCTGTGAGTTTGAGGCCAGCCTGGTCTACAGAGTGAGTTCCAAGACAGGCTCCAAAGCTACAGAGAAATCCTGTTTCGAAAAACAAAGAAAACAAGCAGTATAAAATTAATCAATTAGGCTAAAATGCCTGGCCAGGGAGGCCCAGGGATCCATCTGACTCTGCCTCCCTAACTTGGATTGCAAGTAGGCATCACCATATCTCATTGTTTTGTTTTTTTGTTTGTTTTTTTGAGACAGGGTTTCACTGTGTAGCTCTGGCTGACTGGGAGCCTGCTACTTAGGTCAGGTTGACCTCAAATTCACAGAATTCTACCTGCCTCTGCCTCCCAAATGCTAGGATTAAAGGCGTGGCCCGCCATGCTCAGTCTGACGAGGTCATTTGTGCATTGCACCAGTGTTTTGGGTGTGCCGAAGGCAGCACGTTACTTGAACATTGGGAAACTGTAACATCTGCAGGGGTCAGGCTATCCATTCTGTGACCCCCACCCCATCCCTAATCACTTTTTTCTTGGGTTGTGGGGTGGAGAGGAGGGAGGGGGGGGGAGAGCTCTGGGAAGCCTGAGTCAGAGTGCTCCGGTCTCCACAAGGGCAGAGATGCAAGGGAGTCATCCAGAATGGCGTGATAGCAGGGCAATGGGTTCCTCTCACGACTCCCTGAGGGAATTCTTCTGTTGCTCCAGGAGAAATTTGAGATCACAAACTTGGATATGAAACCGGGGATGACCCTGAAGATTAAAGGCAAGATCCACAAGGATGTTAACAGGTGAGCAAGGGGTGGGCAGGGCTGAGGACTGGGACCCTCAATGGGACCCACAAAGGCTCAGGAAGCAGTGACTTTTACATGCTCCTTACCACAGCCCTGCTGGCTCCTGCTAGGAGCCGCCTTTGCATCCTTTGGGTTAGTAACCTTCGGAGTGTCCGAACAGACACTGTGCTCTCTGTTCCTGGTCTCAGTTGCCACCAAAGGGGCAGGTGGGGAAGGCTGGCCCTCTGTCTGGCCCCGCAGGTGTGGAGCCTGTATGAAGAGCCCATGTTCTCCCGGTCACCACCCTCTTAAACAGGGCCTGTGACTCTAACCGGAGGCAGCCACCAGGGGGCAGCAAAGCTTGTTTCCGCGAACTGAGCACTGCAGTTCACTCAGGCAGCTCAGCACTAGGCTGACAAGTATATAGTGTGATGCCAGAATTTTGTGAGATAAACCTCTAGCTCCTGCGTTAGGGAGGAGACAGGCAGACACAAACAGTAGGGGCTCACTGGGCGGTGGTGGCGCACGCCTTTAATCCCAGCACTCGGGAGGCAGAGGCAGGAGGATCTCTGTGAGTTCGAGGCCAGCCTGGTCTACAGAGTGAGTTCCAGGATGACCAGGGATACAGAGAAACCCTTTCTGGAAAAACAAAAACCAACCAAGCAACAACAACAAAACCCCAACAATACAACCACAAAAAAAAGGAGCTCAGAGAGCTCGCTTGCAGAAACATGCAGACATGCCTGGTCTGAGAGCCCCACCCCTGATGGACCCCCAAAACCCAAATGTACTACTTTCAAGGACTCTGAGTGTCAAACCCAGGCTCATCTTGTGGTCCTGTCAAGTGGTACACACCTGCCTGCATCCATCTGGTGACAGTCCTTCAACTGTCTCCCAGGACAGACAGCCCTAATTCCTGAAGTTGTCACTACCAGTAACTCCTCCCCACCCTACCCTGCTCTCCGTCACTCCCCCCCACCCTACCCTGCTCTCCGTCACTCCTCTCCCCCCCCCCCGACCCTACCCTGCTCTCCGTCACTCCCCCCACCCTACCCTGCTCTCCGTCACTCCCCCCACCCTACCCTACCCTGCTCTCCGTCACTCCCCCCACCCTACCCTGCTCTCCGTCACTCCTCTCCCCCCCCCGACCCTACCCTGCTCTCCGTCACTCCCCCCACCCTACCCTGCTCTCCGTCACTCCCCCCCACCCTACCCTGCTCTCCGTCACTCCCCCTACCCTGCTCTCCATCACTCCCCCCACCCTACCCTGCTCTCCGTCACTCCCCCCACCCTACCCTGCTCTCCGTCACTCCCCCCACCCTACCCTGCTCTCCGTCACTCCCCCTACCCTGCTCTCCGTCACTCCCCCCCTACCCTGCTCTCCGTCACTCCTCTCCCCCCGACCCTACCCTGCTCTCCGTCACTCCCCCCACCCTACCCTACCCTGCTCTCCGTCACTCCCCCCACCCTACCCTACCCTGCTCTCCGTCACTCCTCTCCCCCCCCGACCCTACCCTGCTCTCCGTCACTCACCCCCTGCTCTCCGTCACTCCCCCCACCCTACCCTGCTCTCCATCACTCCTCCCTATAGCTTCACCGTTAACCTGGGCCAGGCGCAAGACAAGCTGAACCTACATTTTAACCCCCGCTTCAACGAATCCACCATTGTCTGCAACACTCGTGACGGCAGCAGCTGGGGACAAGAGCAACGAGAGAGTCACATGTGCTTCAGTGCAGGGTCAGAGGTCAAGGTGAGGTCACACGGGAGCCCAAATGATGGCCTTCCTGTCTGGACATGGGAGCACCCCCCCCGCCCTCCTGACATGGGAGCACCCCCTCCTGACATGGGAGCACTCCCCTCCTGACATGGGAGCACCCCCCCACCCCCACCCCCGTCCTCCTGACATGCTCCCTCCCCTTGCAGTTCACTGTGGCCTTCCACAATCATGAGTTCAAGGTGACGCTACCTGACGGGCACACGGTGACCTTCCCCAACAGGCTGGGCCACAACCACCTGCCCTACCTAGGCATGGTTGGGCTCCACATCTCCTCCTTCAAGCTTGAGTGAGCACACAGCTCCTCAGAACGAGACCTCAGCCCACAAACCCGTCCCAGCCCCCCTGCGAGTCCCATCAGAACCACAGCCTTCCGGCCCTGCGCTTCCACGATTCACTCGCAGCTTCTGCCCTTCTGACTAACTCCAAGGCCAAGAGCAAATAAAAGAATCCACATTTATTATTTCTACACTGAGATCTGTTAGCACTTCCCATGTGGGCTGACGCTCCCCACCTTTGGTATAAGGTTGGAAACTGAGGCACAGGGCGTTCGCTGCGGAGAGGAGAGGGTGGGAGGTGCCCCCGAGCCACCCTGTACATGTAAACCTGCCTCCCTCCTGGCCACCTGAGCACCTGCCAAGCTGCCCCGCGGGATTATGGGGCAGATACTGGTTCCAGGCACCTGGGGCCAGGGTGTTCCAGGAACTGCAGATAAGGGTCCCACCTGGGCCTCTTATCATTGAGCATTCCAGGTTGGTTACTCATTACCTTTCCACCCCCCCTTCTAGCTGGGGAGCCTGAAAGGGGGTCCTCAACTCTCCAAACTCCCAGCAGGGGAAAGGGCATCTGAGTCGGGGCTGCCCCTTGGCTTCTTAGGCAGTTAACTTTTATCAGGAAGGCTTTTACGTTCAGGCACAGGCGGCTGCGGCACGCAGAAGACAGAATCTGCTGCAAGGTCACACCTGACCTTTCTCTGGAACTGAGGAGGAGCCTGGAACAGGGCTGTTGAGGACGCAGTGGTGGCCTTCTGGGGCGGCTCTAAGTGAGCAGGGACAGGCAGTCCACCCGGAGACAATGGCCCTGTGTGGTCCTCCCCCCAGCCAGGAGTCATCTGGGGCACAAAAGCCACACTGTGAGGTCATGGGGTTGGCATGGGGTGTGACCAAGGATTAGTGGGCCTAGATGCAGTGGAGGGAGTTGGATCAAGTCACTAAGGATCCCCTCACCCATGTCTGCCTTGCATAGACCAGGAGGGATCTGGGGCTAGCTCCAGTTGGGCAGATGTGGTTGTTAGGTGACGGTGGTGAGCTCAGCCCCTGCTCTCTGTGAGTCCTGAGGATGGCAGGGCCTCACACCTTGACTTCATCATCTTCCTCAGCGTCAGCAAATTCAAAGGCACTGGCCTGCACCGTGCTGGGCACGGGGGCTCTGCCGCTGGCAGGCGGTGCGCTCCATTCTTCATTCAGGCTCTCCCAGGAGCCGTGGACTTGGGGCAGCACCCCTGCCAGCTCCTGTCGAGCATGCATTTCAGTGTAGTGGCGGCTGGCCCGGCTGGCACCCCAGCCGGCTCCACACCCGCCAAAGGCCATGCCGGGAGGTACCTGGGGATTCTCTCCCACAGGACTGGGCTTTACCTCAGCCACAGGGTCCAATACAGCAGTTACCCCATTGGGGAAATGTCCATGGGACGGGGGGCTTGCTGCAGGAGCTGGGAGGCTTGTCACAGGGTCTAGGGTGGTTACGGCACGGGTTGGGGGTTTTGCAGTCGGGGCAGGGGGCGTTGCTGCTGAGGTGGGGGGATTGGCAGCAGGGGCTGGGGTCTCAGCTACTGGGGCTTCTGAAAGATTCATGGCTCCCAGCAGCTCACTGAGGAGCGAGGGACCTAGGTCAAGGTCAAAACGGAAAGACAAGAGAGAGTCAGAGCGTCGAAGCTCTGGCTCACAGGGGAAGGAATTCTGCTCTCGGTCTTGAGCATGGTCCCGGTCCCGGTCCCGGTCCTGGTCCCGGTCCTGGTCCCGGTCCTGGTCCCGGTCCCGGTTCCGGTCCTGGTCACGGTCTCGGTTGTTGTGCTTTTCCACACGTGGCAGGCGTGAGATAGTGCAGAACCCTGAATCTAGGCCTAGCAGAGAAATGGGGAGGAAGTCAGCACTGGGTCTCTCGCCTGTTGAGAACAACCCTGCCTTACCACGTGGCCCTTGGTAAGCTGTACCCTTGAAGGCCCTACTTCTCTCCCTCTCCAATGTAAGGACCCCACAGCCTTCCAAGTGACCTCTGAAACTAACCCTCACCCCACGTTGCAAAGGAGCAAATGGAAGTTCAGTTTGGGACGGGGCAGACCTTGCCTAAAGCCAGCCTGTCAGGCTTTGAAACTAAGCCTGCAGCTTGAATCTTGACACCCAATCCCTGGTGTGGACTTGGCCGAGGCTCCTGGTTCACTAATGAGACTGACTACAAGTGAACTTTCGGGTTTACCCCTGGGCACACATAGAAACCAGAAGCCAGGGCCTGGTCAGAGAAATCACCGGTTCTCAGGACAGGGACATGCCCTCCAAAGATTACCAGCCCGACTAGGGCTTCCAGGCCTGACACCAGGCTAATAATCACTGCGGTCCCTGGACCTATGGTGGCAGCAAGACTGTAATGCAGAGCACAGCCATGTGGGGGCAGCAGTAACCCATGGTCTCCTGCCAAGGCCAAGGTGGCATTCACACCTGAAGCAATTTGTCAAGTTACATGAGTCTTTGTTCAAGGAACAGCTCTGTCCCAAGCACCTGTTACAGAACCGCCTAATGCATATCTGACTTCACTCAATCTTTTTCAGTTTTGTTGTTTGGAACAGGGTCTTGCTATGTAGCCTAGGCTGTCCTGGAACTCACTACATAGATCAGACAGCATTGCGATTAAGGGACCCGCACAGGTGAGGACTGGGGTTCAGGGGTCTGTGCGATTACTGCAGCTGCAAGAACAGGCCTGGAAACCAGAGTGGGCTCAGAGAGCCTCACGTGATTCCCTCTGACACGGGTGGGGGGGCTGCTTAGTGGAAGGAAACAGGAAGCAAGGAACTAGCCTGAGAGTCCAGAGACGGGGAAAGCTTGTCGGAGTCACAGAGCTGCTAGAATGCAGGCTCTATTTCTATCTCAGCCTCAGTGTTATGAGGCCTAAGCAGGCCGGCAGCACCCTCCTCCCTAATGCCGCCACCACCCCCACCCTCAGCACAGGTTGGGGCGCAGACTCCACTGGGAGGTCTAGCAGCTGTGGGGAAAGGCCTGGCAGAACCCCACAATCTCTCTGGGCTTGAACTCTGGCAATGGAAAAAGAGACTGTGAGCCCGGGTCCTCACCGTAACCATAGCGGCCGTCTGTGTAGCTGGCAGGACTGTCAAAGCTGAGCTTGCCCACCACCAGGCTGTCATAGGTGGCCTGGTTGAGCTGGGGCAAGGAGATGGCGTTCTTGATGATGGGCGAGACGGCAGGGGGCGCAGGTGAGGACGCAGTGGGGGAGGCCATCCTTCGAGGCGGCACCCCCACCCTGCGCACCTGCTGGAGCTTCCTGGCCAGGAAATTTCGGGGTGAGCGGTGGGTGTCTCCAGAGCGGCCCCCATGGTTGCTGAGGAAGGAAGTGTCGCCGAAGACATCCCCACCACGGCCCACATGCATGGTGTGGCGGAAGTCCCCGAGTGGGGGGCTGATCATGTCTGCTGTCAGGCGCCTCTTTCCATGGGAACTGGACACCCATCCTACGGGAGACAGCTTGCCCAGGCTCATGGTGGGGGCTCCTGTGCCCCCCTGGGGGCCGGGCATCCGCTTTGGCTGCTTACAACTTCTGGTCCATGCCCAGCTAGGGCCAGGGAAGGTGGCGGGCTGGGCTCAGGGACCCTTCTCAGCCTTTTTATTGACGAAGATGGCGGAGCAGAAGCCAACCCTTGACTGAACGACGGCGCTGTCCCCAGTGCTGAGGCTGGGGGAGTCTATTGCTTCTCTCTCCCGGAGGCCCTGCCCCTGGTTCTGGTGAGGCTGGTGATCAGAGAGGACACGAGGAGACGGGTGGTCCCTGTCCTGGGGTGGAGACCTGGAAGGGGAGAGACAGCACTGTGGCATGGCAGCGGAAGAGGAAATCCGAGTTCAAACAGTAGCCGCCCAAGAGAACAAATGAAGCTACCCAACAACGTATGGTCCCTTGATTAGAGCCAGCCAGACATACTTCTGCATGTGAGCACACGGACACAGGCACCCACATACACGGGCACGCCAGAGTTTGAGGACAGGCAGCGTGGACCGCATGGTGATCAGAAGCGTGGATGCCTCTGAGCGCCATTGCCGGACTCCATTCTGCTCCGAGTTCACAGCGGGCACCAGTGAAGCAGAAAAGTGACCGATCAGTACCTTCGGGCCAGGTGCCAATGACTCTTGCACACATCAGGCGGCTCACACACTAGCCCCGCTGGAGGCCCTAGTGTCGGAATGAGAACCTGACTTAAAAGTGTAGTGACCTGCCTGTGGGTCTCTCGGGAAGAAATGAGAGAGGTGAGCGCCCCATCCCAGCAACCTGGAGCCCCTTTGCTGGCATATTCTAGTTCTCTGGGGGTTCAAATCTATTCTCACCTGGAGAGGTCAGGAGAAAGGAGGCGCCCTGCCAAGGTTTTGTGTGCACCACCTGCCACGGAGCCAGCACTGACGTTCCTCAGAGCCCTCTGCCTCCAAGGTGCTTCCTGGAAAAGGGATCCTGTGGTCACAAGTGGCCTCTTCCAGCCGGCTCCTGCGTGCTCAGACAGACTGCTCTGAGGCGGCCTGGAGAGAGGGCTTTATCATTTGCTCAGCTTGATGGCAGAGCCATGTTGGGGAACAAGTTTTAGAAAAAAAAAATAGCCCTATGGGTGCCAAAAGCTACTCCCTACGTACCACTATCCTTCCTGATCCCTCGCCTGCTTCCTCCGCTGTCCTGACCTCAGAGGGTCCCCCTGTGTCCCCTCTTCTCTTTCTCAAGGAGCTGGAGGGCACTTAGGACCCTGCAGCCCATACTCTGGTTTTCTATGACCCGGAGAGGGCCAAGCTCGCTCAAGGTCTCATCAAAAAGCTAGTCCAAACTTGAACTCGGGGCCGCTGACTCACATAAGCCCTTGCCGGCTTTCGGGGCCCAGTCTTGTTTCCCCAAGCGCTTTGAGGGTGGGGCGATGCCTGGATTTTCCTGCCTCCCTCCCTCCCAGCGCCTAACACGTGGCCAAATCCACAGCCAGGCTAATCATGAGCTGAGATAACCTTCCGGCCAGAGGACCACCCCCTGGTAGAGTAGAGTAGACTGGGGACTTGTGCTCACCCTGTGACCTTGGGCAAGTCACCACACACCTGTTCGACTGATAAAGATCTAGACCTGAGTTTCAACTTTTCTTTTTTTAATTTTCTCAACCTTAGCTGCAGCCTCCAAGCATAAAGTTCTCAATGCAGCCCTTCTATAATGTTATTTGAAATTCAAAATAGGTTAACTAACAAGATAAAACAAAGAGGAGAACTGGACAAAGCTTGCTTTGTTTTGGGACCGCATTCTCTTCCTTCCCACCATGGGATCCTCCTTCAGTTCTAGCTCCTCCCCCTTGGGGGGGGACTTCTGAATCATCCCTTTCCCTGGCACCCCCAGCGCCGAGAAGTCCTCGTGGAATGTTTGCTGAGGTTATAAAGCACTCTGCTTGTTGTTGGCTGACCAGTGACATGATGTCATCAGATGATTCTCCAACACCCCCTTGAGGCAGGAAGGCTGGCCGAGGCTACAAAGAGCACTGACAAGCCCAGGGAACAGACTCGCCCAAGGTCCCGTGGCAGGTAAACACGGGCCAGGTTTCCCAGCTCCACACAAGGCTAGTCTCTAAACTTCAGTCGGAAGGAAGGAGCTGTGCAGCCTGGTGGGACTCACTTTGCAAAAGGCACGTGGAGGAGTCAACTGTGTCTACCATGTGGACACAGCCGCCCCCCTCCCCCCGCCCCCAATTCTCTAACTTCTGGGTTTCTTCCAGGCTCCTGCCCCGTGCAACCCCCCCCCCACCAACCTTGGTGATGAAGCCACCCCCCAAACACCTCTGGGTAACATCTAGATAGCATTCTCTACGTCTACACAATCTACAGCAGCAGAGTATCCTGGCCCAACGTCAGCTACTGTCTTCCCATGGAGAAAACAGGAAGGAGGCGGTCTCCCAGGCAGAGAAAGGAGGAAGGGGCAGAAGATGAAAAAAACTCAGTTCTCTCACCCTGGATCAGACAGGCCTGGGTTCAGATCCAACACGGCATCAGTAAGGGGCATCTTTCCTTCTAGTGACCCTTGGTGGCTGTCACCCTTGGTGGCCGTCACCCTTGGTGCTAGCCACAGACCACCGCTGGCCTTTACATGTGCTGGGTGTTGTTGAGCTACAAGGACCCTTTTCTCAAAGGCCCAGGAAACAGCCCCTGTAAAACGCCCAGCTCACCATTTTACCCGGGAAAGTGAACCCCAAGTCACAGAACAGAAACAGCGTGCTCGCTGGGGCTTGCTTACATTCTACCAACGCTGGCTGAAGAGCTTTGCCAGTGGCGTGACAGTGGCAGGATCGGGGGAGTTACCAGAGGGAGGAACGGGGGTCCTGGCTCTGCAGTCCAGCATCTATGACCTGGGCATGAGCCGCCACAGGTGAGCCGCCAGTATCCCAGGAGCTCTTAAATTTACTCGTCAACTGTATGGGCACTTGGCGAGAGCTCCCTCGGTAGTAACGGCCACAGCTTGGGGGCTTTGGCAGGATGCACTCGCTCAGAGGCCAACAGGGGTGGCAAGGAAGCCACTGGATGGTGGGGAAGGGCCGGGGTAGGGGTGGCCTGCGGCTTCTTGTAGTACTTAGATGCTCCCTCAGGCAGGTGCGCAAGGCCCCGGCCCGGGGAAGCCTGATTGGGGATGGGGGGCGCACAGCTCTTTAACATCAACGCAGGACTGTGGAATTATGTTACTTCTGATGCCCCCAGTCTGTGACATTTGGGATTAGAAGTTAAGTCCTCCAGCACTCTGAGGTGGAAGACAGGGAAACTGAGGCCAGAAAGGGGGTGGTAAGCTGCTAAATTTCACTACCCTTAGGATAGGAGGAGGCGCCTCGGGCCATTAGGGAGCAAAGTGGGAGGAGAAATGAGGGGTTTTTGTTTGTTTGTTGACAAGGTCTCCCAAAATAGTCTAGGCTGACATCGAAATTGTGACCCTCCTGTCTCAGTTTCCCAAGTGTTGGGATTAACTTGTGTGCCACTACCGATTTACTAAGATGCCTTCTTGCCCCAGCACCCCAATTAAAGCTAAGCAGCCCTCCACTCTGCCTCTGTGTTCTCTCAGCCTCAGTTTCCCGGTCTGGAAAACGGGCTTCAAACTTGGCGAGTCTTGCATAGTTGGGACAAGGGCAGAATCTGTCAGTTGGCATGGGAAGTTCAAGAAAAACTTCAACCAGGAAACATTCCCTTCTGGGGACCTCGGAGGGGAGACTTTGGAGTGTCCCCTGCTCCGGTCCGGCGCGGGCAGCGGTTGCGGTGGCCAGAAGGGAACCGGACGGGATGACCTCATCCATTGCTCCAGTCTGGAATGTAGCTGGGGAGGGGGCAGGGTGCCCTGTCCCCGTCTGTCCGCCCGCCACCCCCCCCCCCAGCTTCCCGCTACCGCGCTGGCGTCGCCAAGGGGCCCTGGGATCCTTTCCTTTCCGCTGCCCGCGCAGGAATGCGCGCCGACGGCCCTGGGCTCGTCCTTTGCCCGCCTCCCGTTTAGTGCTCTGGCCTCCGATCCCTGGTCCCCTGTGCCCTCCCGCAACGTGACAAAACAACCCTAGAAATCTGCGCTTCCTGACCTTCTACAGGTTAGCCCCACGCGCCCAAGACGGTGCGCACTCCCCCGGCCCGCGCCCGCGGTTACCTCGTGTCGTCGAGCCCGGGGGTCCAGTGACGGGCGCGCTGGCGCGTCCCTGCGCAACCCAAGAGTCGCTGGGCCGGTCTGCGCCGCCCTGGCCGCGGGCTTGGTGGCCGGATCCCCGGGCGGGGGCGGGCTGCGGGATCCCTCCGCCCCTGCTCCGCCCGCAGCGGCCGCGCCCCCTCCTGGGCTAGCCACGCTGCTAGGGCTGCAGGGGCGCGGCGGGGGTGCCAAGCCAGGCCCCTGCCCGCCGCCCCTAGGCGGGGCGACCTCGGGAATGTTCGCTCTGTCCGGAGCCGGGACTGCCCAGAGAGGCCGGCCACTGGAACTCTTTGCTGCCCACTGCTTCTCAGATGACCTCGGGGAATCCAGGGCTGACAACTGTGGCCTGGGTCTCCAGCCTTTCTCTGCTGGAGCTGGAGGAACTGACTGGACGACTTTGGATTTTTTAAAAGTGTGGGGCATTCACTCTTTCCCTTTCTCTTCAGCCCCCTCCTGGCCACCCAATAATAGCACCATGAGGTGCCAGCAGAGCACTTAGCTTCTCTAGGGAAGAGTCCACACGTAGAGACACCAGCAGTCTAGCATGTGGTAATGTCATAGACCCTAAAGCTGGTATGACCCTTCTTCCTTCCAGTGCCTCAGTTTCCCCACGGGGCGGGGCTGGCGAGATGGCTCAGCAGTTAAGAGTGTTTCCTGCTCTTTCAGAGGATGGAAGTTCTGTTCTCAACACACACACACACACACACACACACATACACACACACACACACACACTCTCTCTCTCTCTATTAAAGTGGACTTATCACACCAGACATCAGTTATTACATTATCTCCTGTTCCCTGCTCTAGCAACTAGGAGAGTTGTTGAACAGGTAAATGAGGTCACACCTTAGAGATTGTCAGTGAGGCCCCCCTACTTCAAAGAAGGCACGGAGTCAGTCATGCTCACTGGAGAGATCGTGTTGTTCCCTCTTGCTCTCCGAGGACAGGCAGGAATCCTGGGAGTTGCCTGTGGCACAGACAGGTCCCCAAGGCAGTCTGGCAGTGGGATATTAAGTGAGGTTCCCAGAAAGAGAGGAAAACTGGGTTAAGACCTAAAGAGATCAAAGAGCAACAGAGAGCCTGGGGAGTTCACTCTGAACAGGCTGTGGGCAACGGCTCTGAGCCCTGCTCGGATGCAGCTGGCCAGCGCTGGCCCTGCAGGGTGAGGAGCCATCAGGAGAGGTAGACAGAGGAGACACAGAGTGCTAGCCTTCGGGGCTGACTCCCTGCGTCCTCACACTGGTCTCCTGGGGAGGGGGTCATTCTTCCAGCCGGACAAATGAGGAAACTGAGGCACAAAGCATGTTAGCTCCTGCTCAAGTGCCATGCAGATAAGACTGAGGCATAGGTGGTTGGAGGTCTTTCCCCAGGGTGGCCCAGGGAAACTGGGAAGTGTCCCCAAGACCCAGGCACATGGGAGAGGAGGCTGGAGCACAGGACAGAGTGTTTAACCCTTCCAGATACTCCATCTCTCCTGGCCAGGCCTGGGTGTTTAACTATGGCCGGCTGTCTGTGTGTGTGTAGGTGCAATTAAAAACCTCTCGGCTTTTATTGAGCACCTGTGCACGATCACCTTTAATCTCCCTGAGAGCCCTATGGGAACAATTACGTCATCACGTCCACTTTGCAGAAAAGTGAAGTGACTTGCCCAGGGCCTCCTACTTTGGCAGGATGACCACATTTCCTGTCTGTCAAGAGCACCAGTGTCCTGGCTCCATCACCAATAACACTTGCTTTGCCCTCAAAGGTGCTCTGGGTAGCTGGAAAGCTGCTCGTCCCTCCAGCCAGGGTTCCCGGGGCAGCTCAGAAAGGAAACTGTTTGGCTCCGTGTCAAAGACCCAGAGTTCAAGGCTGCGTATGAGCATGCTGTAGTCTCTTCTCTTTAAATGGGTCTAGCTCCAGGGCAGGCGGTTACCATACCTGACGGAGTGTTGCAAACCCAAAAAGATGCCCAGAAAACTGTCTTTCTTTTGTTTATTATGAGACAGCATCTCACTATGTAACATTAGCTGACCTAGAACTCACTTTGTAGACCAGGCTGGCCTTGAACTCACAGAGATCTGTCTGCCTCTGCCTCCGCTCTAGGAGTAAAGACCTGCACTGCCACACCCTGCTGAGAAGGCCGTTTGGATGCAAGCCATTCCCCTCTGTTCCCTGGCTCAGTGGCTCAGAAACTGCCAGCCTCCGACCAGATTCCAGATACTCCATCTCTCCCAGCTGGCTGCGTGGCAATCTTCCAGGCAGACATTCTTGTCCCTTCATACAGCCGGATGAACTGAGGGTGAGAAAGAGCCCTTGCTCACATGGATGTCTCCAGAGAAGTCTGTCTCCTGCCTCCACTCCTCATTTCAGGGTCTCACTCAGTTTCCTCTGGAAAATGGAAAGAAAAGAAGGGTGGTGGGCTGGTGCTGGAGAGATGGCTCAGTGGCTAAGAGCACTGACTGCTCTTCCAGAGGACCAGGGTTCAATTCCCAGCACCCACAAGGCGACTCACAACTGTCTGTAACTCCAAGATCTGACACTCTCACACAAACATGCATGCAGGCAAAATATCAATACACATAAATAAATTATTTGAAAAAAAAAAAAGAAGAAGAGCCCTGGAATCCAGGGGTGAAGGGTGAGCACCCTCCTCATGCCCGATGCCTTTTTCTTCTGATTTTCTCTCCTTGCCTGCCTCCAAGGCTGTGCCAGGAGTGTAGGGGTTAACCTGCCCGATTCCTAATTACCATGCAGGGTGCAGAACAAATGCCTCCCAGCTGGGGAAGGGAAGGGAAGCTGCTGCTGTCACGGTTGCCTGGGATCCTCCTGTGTGAAGGCACCAAGCCCTAGGCCTGTATCCTCTCAGGGCTCAGCTGCCCTGACTTCACCCTTACAGACTGGGGGAGAGGGCTGGCTTCTTATGGGAGGAGGTGCGTCTAAGCAGGGAGCTCTCTATGGAAGTGTCGAGGACATAGGCTGAGATGGGGTAATTCCCACTGGGGTGGCCTTCTGTAGAGTCCAGTGAGCAGAGACCCTTGGGCTGGGAGACTTGGCTTGGACACCTCTGCCAGCCCTTCCCGGGCAGCATGCTTCCTCAACTCCGAAGTCTGTCTGGACTGTTGGCCAGTTTACTCCTTTCCTCACTGCTCCAGGCCTCCCAGTCCTCTGTCTCTTATCGTCCAAGGGTCTAGCCACCCGCAGCTGCAAAGGCCCATTTATCCAGCTGTCCCACCTACCTCCGCACCCTCCATCCATCCATTCACCCACCCACCCGCTCACCCATCCACCCGTGGATCCAAACCTACATCCACCAATCGTCCGACCGCTTCTCTGCTCCTCCCCTGCTCCGCGCTCACCATTCATCCCACGTACCCATCCGTGGGTACTTCTGCTCCTCAGGCATCCACTCTCTTCCCACCAGCATCCCTGGCCGCTACTCATCTACCCACCCAGTGTGTGTCCTCACATCCAGCTGCTCACTTACCTTCCCTCTGTGACTCCCTTACACAAATTCACTCTTGGCTTCTGCCGGTGACCACAGCTCTGAGCCTATGCGTGTGCGCGCACACACGCACACATACACACACACACACATACACGCGGGCGCGTGCACACACATATGCATACACACACATGCATATACACACACACACACTGATGGACCTCAGGCCCTCAAGAAGCCATCTCTGGCCAGTGGTGGTGGTGCATGCCTTTAATCCCAGCACTCGGGAGGCAGAGGCAGGCAGATCTCTATGAGTTCGAGGCTGGGCTGGACTGACAGCCTCCAAAACAATACAGAGAAACCCTGTTTTGTAAAAACCAAAAAAAAAAAAAAAAAAAAAAGAAGCCATCTCTTGCCAGGCATTGGTGGCACACGCCTTTAATCCCAGCACTCAGGAGGCAGAGGCAGGTGGATCTCTGTGAGTTCAAGGCCAGCATGGTCTACAGATCGAGTTCCAGGACAGGCTCCAAAACAATACAGAGAAACCCTGTCTTGAAAAACAAAAAACAAACAAACAAAAAAGAGAAGCTCAACCTAGATTATTGCCTGTGGTCTGGCCTCCATGCGGGCACCTGCTTGCCAGGGATCACGCAATGAGGTGCCTACTTTGTACCCCTGGCGTGCTTGGGGAATGGTCAGGGCTGACAAGGATCCTCGTTCTCACACCGGGACACGGCCTCATGAAGGCAGGCCTCTTCTTCTCGGGGACTAGACTCCCCTAAGGTTCAGACACGCACAGACACCTCAGAGAGAGCGGACAGCATTTTGGGGTCCCCAAGAGTTTTGTGCTGTGAGATGTCATTATACCTAGGGGATGAGGCATGGGGCCAAGAGGGTGGCTGCACCCCATGCTCGCCCTTGTAAAATCCAGGATATTTTTTTAAAGACAAGATCTTATTACCTGTGTTGGCTGGCCTAGAACTCACTATGTAGACCAGACTAGCTTTAAGCTCACACATGCTGGGATTAAAGGTGTGCGCCACCAACACCCGGCTTCTTTTCTATTTTTTTTAACTATTTGAAATTTTTAAAGTTTATGTGTGTGGGCGTTTCGCCTCCCTGTACATTTATGCACTGTGTGTGTGCCTGGGGCCTGCTGAGTCCAGAGGAGGTTGTTGCATCCCCTGGAGCTGGAGTTACAGATGGTTGGGAGCCACTGTGTGGTGCTGGGACTCAAGCCTGGGTCTCCTGGGAGAGCAGCGAGTGTTCCTGCTGCCGAGCCATCTTGCCAGCCCCTGCCCTGGAGTGCACTTCCAAGCTAGGCAAAGTTAGGTCCATACCTCAGCAAAAGCACGGGCAGGGTGGCTTTAGCCTGGGCCTCAGCTGGACAGTCCATGACAAAGCAAGGTTTCACGGCTGGTCCTGAGGTTGTGGCCAGGGGAAGGTGGCTGTTGTGGTTTTTGTTTTCATTTACTTTTCCCGTGGGTCGGATTCAACCTGTGTGTGCCCGGGGAAGAGCTGCTGGGAGAAGCCCTGGTCTAGGATGTGGGGACTGTCAGAGAAGGGGGGTAATGGTTGCTTTCCCTAGGGGTAGAGTCTAACAAGGGAACGGGAGTTGTAGCCCTGGCTTCTTGGAGAAGGTGGC